TTGTTTCAGAGCACTTGTTCCATTTTACATTCTAACCAGCAATGTATAAGTGATCTAGTTTCTCTGCAGCCCTCATTATCATCACCTTTATTATTTTATCTATTCTTTTTTTTTAACAAAGGAAAAAACTTACCTATTCTTATTGTGGTTTTACTTTATGTTTTCTCAGAGCTGTTCGTATTGAGCAGCTTTTCATGTTTATTTGCCACCTGTATATTTACTCTGAAGTGTCTTTTCATTTCTTTGGCTCAGTTTTAATTATGTTGTTTTCTTTTTTGGAGACAGAGTCTTACCCTATGGCCCTTGGTAGAATGCTATGGCATCATAATAGCTCACAGCAAACTCAAACTCTTGGGCTCAAGAGATCCTCTTGCCTCAGTCTCCCAGTAGCTGGGCCTATCGGCACCCACCAATATGCCAGTTAGTTTTTCTATTTTTAGTAGAGACTGGGGTCTTGCTCTTGCCTGTGCTGGTCTCAAGCTCCTAAGTCAAAGAATCGACCCACCTCAGACTCCCAGGGTGCTAGGATTGCAGGCGCCAGCCACCATGGCCAGCCAGTTATGCTGTTTTCTTAATATTAGTGAGCTTTGTGGGTTTGTTGTATATTCTATAGGTACAGGAAATTTTTTTTTATTGAGACAGAGTATCACTTTGTCACCCTCAGTAGAGTGTTATAGCATCATAGCTCACAGCAACCTCTTGAGAATTCTTGGGCTCAAGTGATTCTCTTTCTTCAGCCTTCCTAGTTAGTAGCTGGAACTATAGGCACCCTCCACAGCACCTGGCCATTTTTGTTGTTGTTGTTTAGCAGGCCCTGGGCCGGGATCAAACCCACCAGCCCTTGAGTATGTGGCTGGCACCTGTGCTCAGTGGTTAGGATGCCAGCCACGTACACCGGGGCTGGTGGGTTCGAGGCTGGCTGGGGCGTGCTAAACAACGACAACTGCAACAACAACAACAACAAAAATAGCCAGGCATTGTGGTGGGTGCCTTTAGTCCCAGCTGCTTGGGAGACTGAGGCAAGAGAATCACTTGAGTCCAAGAGTTTGAGATTACTGTGAGCTATGATGCCACAGCGTTCTACCGAGGGTGACAAAGTGAGACTCTTGTCTCTTAAAAATTTTTTTTCATCATAAAAATTATGTATATGTTCATTGAAAAGAGAATTAGATAAAATGAATAGGAAACATTTCCTTATCTTTCCCCTCTACCCATCCCGTTCTCCAGAGTAGCCAGTGTTAGTTTTGGTGTGAAAATATTCTGAACCTTTTTGTATGCATACTACATACTACTTTCTTGAAAAATAAAATAATTTATTTACTTTTTGTTCTACAATTTAACACTTAACAATATATTATGGGCTCAGCAGCTATAGTAGATTAGTTACGGCACTAGTCACATACCCTGAGGTTGGCAGGTATGAACCTGGCCTGGGCCAGCTAAATATGGACAACTGCAACAAAAAATAGCCAGGTGTTAATGGTGGGTGCCTGTAGTCCCAGCTACTTGGGAGGCTGAGGCAAGAGAAGCACTTAAGCCCAAGAGTTCGAGGTTGCTGTGAGTTGTGACGGCACAGTACTCGACCCAGGGCGACATAGTGAGACTGTTTATCTCAAAAAAAAAAAAA